TAGTTTAATTTTGTATAACACTTTCCTTTTGATGTCATTTTAACTATATATATTCATTTTTAATTTTTAAATTTATGTAATACATATTTACTTTATTACATAATTGAATGAAGATATTTAAATCTATAGTTATGCATCATTTGATCTTCAATATATCACATAATTAGTACCACAAAAAAAATTTATAAATTACATAATCCTAAGATTAGGGGAGTAATTAAGTCATGCCAAGTTCGAGTCACTCTCGGCTTCAGCTTGAGCTTGATTAATTAATCGAGTTCAAGCTCGAGCTATTGCTCTATTTTATGAGTTCAAGTTTGCTCACGAGCTATCTCATCTATCATAAAGTAGATAAAATCATTCTTATCCAAGCTAATATTATAACAATATGATAAAAAATTAAAATTAAAATGATAAATACTAATAAATTACTTGAAATAAGGAAGGGAAATATAGGTTTTTGATATTTTTAACAACTTTATGCTAAACTTACTTATTTTGTATACATTTTAAGTGTATTTAATATTAATTACCTTTTTTAAAATAAGCTAGTTCACGAGATGACAAGTTGAGTCAAAGCTGATCAAGCTTGGCTCATGAGTCATTTATAGAGTCGAGCCTGAGCCGGCTCAAGATTTGACTTGACTCAATTACACCCTTATCTCCAAATAAATTTACTTTTCAAAAAATAAATAAATAAACCCAAAAATTTAGCCTAATCCTTAGCCCACAAGCCAAGCTATTTATTAATTAGGGTTTTTAAAATAGTACTTTTAAAAGTCAATACTAGTTTAATATAATGAACAAAGATTCAGTTGACATTAGACTATTATTTTCATTATCCAATCCTATCATATAGAGAATGACTGTATAAATAATTAAATACAACATTAATAAAAACAATTAAAGCTTAAAAAGGTATATAATTATATAGTCAAATGCATGGGATCTTATTCTAATGAATGGGTAAGAGATATCTTATTAGAGAAAACAGTGAGAAAAAAAAAATAAGGTTTGGTAGAACTAATCTTCAATTCAATTTTCAAAGCAAGGGATTAATTATTTATTGATAATCTTTCTATCTTATGTAAATGCTCTCTACTTTGATCATTTATCAACGTTGATGCATAAAAAAGTCAATTTATTTTGATGCAAATATCTGAAAGTGGTTATAATTAACCTATAAAAATGAGGTCAAGTGCTGATTTGGTATAACTTTTAGAACTTATCTTCATAAAGATAAGGGCTGAGTTTCATTAATGACATTCTTTTCATGGAATAATGATAACTAATAATTCAATGGTGAAATATTCATTGAAGTAATGATATTTTATTATTATATCATTGTACAAATGAGATTTTATTATTACATCATTGTATAAAATAATTCACACAGATAAGTTGAGAGCAAGGAATAGAAGAAATGAGATTTTTTTATATAAAAAATATGAGAAGAGAGAAAAATAATGGAGCCTAACTTAGTTGAAACATTTTCATTAGTGTAACTTGAGAATTGTTAAAATGTAATTCCCCATAATTAGAAAATCCATTAATGTAAATTAATGATCATGAATTATAGAATGCATCTCATGTGGTGAAGTAGGAGAAATCTTGAAGGATCAAAGCTATCATTAGATGATAATGAGCTTATTAGTTTAGTTGTTCATCTAATTAAAGGGGAAACTAGTGATTAAGAATATAGGGATTGAACATGATAGCTAAAAGATATCAAACATTAATTGTTAGCAGGAATCGGATGACAGTTCATTGGTACTATTATAAGTGAGGTAATGGTTAATGGTAAGCTTAGCCACTAACTTAATAATAAAGGAGACCTAATAGCTAGGAAGAAGGATGATGGATATTCCTAGTTGATGCATGTTGGACATCATTGGCCGATGTTGAACACCTACATCAAGGAAGGTCAGAAGTTGAGTGATGTTCAACAGACAGTTTGAATGTTCAAATAAATGCAAAGATTGGGTGACTAATGAGATGAGGAGTGTCATACATCAATGACTATTGGACCTCAATGGCTGGAGGATGATAGACATCAGTCAACATGTAGGCATTACAGTATGATAGGAATCAAACAATAAACTCTAGCATATAGTGTATGTCAGATGATGAATTTGGTCATTAATAAGAGTTGGATGATGAACATTGACTATTGTAGCTCTCAGATAATGGTAGATGTAGAACCTCAAAAGTTGGATGATAATGGTTGATTAGATTTGACATTCTCTTTATAAGAGGAAAGATAAAGAAACCTAAGAAGAACAAATAACCAGAAAAACCAACTAATTGAGATGGCAAATATTGAATGTTGATGGTTAATATATATCAAATGTTGTCATTTGTTGGCATTGAATAATGGTCGACTAGGAATATAAAAAATTAAGTAATGGTGGACAATATATGAGGGGAGATCAAGTGACCATAAAAATGGGCAATAGGAGTTTGTGGCTAACAAATATTATACATTAGTAGGTATTACACATCTTTAAGTTTCAAGCACCACTAAAAGTTGAACATCTATATGCATTAGACATCGTTTGGAATCTATTGTAAGTAAGATTCAGACGTCAAATGTTAATATACTTTGGGAGTCAACATGCACTATTTAAAGGATGATATAAATGCAATACAAGATGTCAATCAATTACCACCGTCAAGTGGTAATAACAATGGATGTTAACGAAGGTTGGCATTAAGTAGTGGTAATTGTTGGCATCAATATAAGTCTATGGATAGCGTCGGGCTATGATGATAACAAGTGTCATTATTTGTCAACGCCAATGTCGAGCAACAATAGGCAAAGCATTGAAATTTTCTAAATCCAAAAATCATGTCAACTAAAATGCATTCCCTCAATTTGTAAATTAATGCTTTTGTAAAGATTTTTGGAGAGGTGTTCTAGCATTTCAATTAGAAATTGGCAGTTAATCAAATTGTTTAAATACATCAACATTTATTTTACATTACAATATCTTAATGAACTTTAAATAAAGCATTTCACCAAAAAAACTCGTTGATGGCATGTAATATTATTGATCTGTTGCTTCTCCCAAGATTTTTTTTTTATTACAAATCAATAATCTAAATTTTTATTAAAAAAAAATTATTCTTTATGTTGCCAAGCCCCAAGCCCTGAATGACCAAAGGTTAATTATTGCATCAAGTAGTCGACAGTCAACATAAAATATGTCGAACAATCGTGACATGAATTATTTAATATATTTTTAGATTTAAATGAGAGTTTGACTCTTAATAAGATATAATATTGAAAAGGATTCATGTGGCCGACCTCACGTAGTGAGATAAATACTTGATGTTGTTACAGTACTTATTGTTATTATTGTTGATGTTGAAATTAAAAAGTCTATATATCTAATATTTTTTTAATCAAAAACAGAAGTCATATACATACATGCTTATATATATATATATATATATAAAAGAATGTATGTATGTATTTCATCTTAGATATCTTAATTACAAGCTTTCTCAATGAATTCTTTATGTAAAAATACTTTCATTTGTTAGGGAAAAAATCTATAATTATAACTTTATAAAAAGTTTTTCTTCTTTGATTTTTAGGAATTTATTACAACTTATATGTTTATCTAAATTAGTTTATTTTTGTAATGCTCACTTAGATGTGAGGATCTTCCATGAAACTCGCTATTTTATTTGATAACAAATCATGCATTACATTATACAAACTTTAATGTTTCACTAAAAGTTCTTTACAAATGAGTCAATTCACAAAAAATCATTTCAATAGAGTTTAGTGTTTCACTAAGCAACTTGGAGCTTTTGCCACTTTAGAAGATGAAGATCAAGGTGATCTTCACAAGAAATCTTAAGTGAATGGGTCAATGAGGTTTAAGAGAATTCTAAGGGTATAGCTTAGCATGAAATGCTTTTAAATTCTTCAAGTATTAGATTGAGTTAGATCATTACCAAAGCCTCAAAAATGATAAACATAAGCTTTAAAGGTATGTTTGTTCTTGAAATTGTAAGTCATAGTAGACAAAATCATATTATTAGTCCTTGCTCACAATAATCAAAATTCATTTTGAAAATCTAAAATGCAAAAAAAAAAAAAAAAAATTCTTGCAACATAAACACACTTATTTTTTTTATTAAAATTCTATTTTTTTTATTTTGTATGGTTTAGAATATTCGATAGATATATAATTATTATAAATACCAAGAATTTAGCTTTGATTTTATCTCCATCAAATATGAAATAGCATTTCACTCAAAATTATATTTTTCGTCGATAATTTTCAAAAATTAAAAGGTGTGATGAAAGATCAATGTTCAAAGCCCCAAATGTTTTTATTAGATGATACAACCCATTATTATTCGTAATAGTCCCAAGCAATGGTGTTGGATGGTCTTTTGGTATGTTAGATTATTTGATTTGGCTATTGATGTTTAGGATAAGGTATGAGCATAGGTTCTAAAGTTGATGGTGAAGGGTTTAGAGTAAAAGGGGTGGGGGGAATGTCAAGATTAGTCAACTTGAGCTAGTTTGGGATGATTTAAAAGTTTACTCAAGATGAAAGGATTTTTTTATGATGTAAATGGCTAGAATTTATAATGAATGGATAGCTTAGGATATTAAATTATGATTTGAAGTATATAATAAGATTTGGTGAAATTTAAGAGGATGTCAATATGCAAGGAAGAAGATTAGGCCTCAACTCTCCCTACTTACCGATCGGATTGGGGTGGTGGTAAGATTTTCGTTGTTGGTTTATTAATCTTAGACGATACTTACAAAATGGAGGAAGATATATGTAGAGAGTCTAAAGTAGATGTTAGAGAGAAGTAGTAAGCAATTTGAATATAGAGGGATTACAATCAAACTTATCCAAAATAGGCAAAATATTTGCAACACCAAATAAATGAAGAACACTTCTACTTGAAAATATTTCAATCATCAATAGAAAACTATAAAGCATTTAAAATGGCAGGCTCAGACCTCAAGAGCTCAATAATGGGAGATAAATTAAACATTTGGCATTTATGATTACAAGGTACAGAAATGTTGCTTGCCATTTATGATCACAAGCTTAAATATGGCAACCAAATAGCAGTTTCAGCTATAAAACCACAGTAGCATGCAAGAGAATACCACCAATCTGGTTACAAAAAACAAAGATATGATAAAACAAAATTTCATTTTTTGGACAATTGAGAGCTGCATTGCGACATTATCTTTGATGCACGAGTGATGGAATCAGTCATATAGAAATTGTCAACAGCAACTCCAAATGGAGCCATGCTCAGATTCTGCTGAAATTCTGGCTTGAGTTCTCCAGAAATTGTTGGTGCCTCCCTCTCTTCAACATTCAGCAAATTGGGAGCCACTGTACCTATCCGAGCCCGTACAGCCTTAAGCGAATCATAGGGAAGGCGTACCCCAGCAACCTCTGACAGTGCTCGGATAATCTTCCAGTCGTCCCTCGACTCGCCGACCGTAGGTACAGCAGGGACCGTCCACTGGGCGCAGCCCTCTGTGTTCTCATAAGTGCCTTCTTTCTCACTAAATGCTGCCGACGGAAAGATAACATTGGCTCTGTAAACACCCTTGTCGCCATGGTGTCCTTGATAGAGTACAAAAGCATCCTTTGGTAGGTCATCCAAGTTCACATCATCAGCGCCCATAAGGTAGACAAATTTTGCAGACCGTATGCACTCGGGTCCAGACACGAGGCCGAGATCAAGAGCAGCTGCTTGGGCAGCATTAAGCAGAAGGACATTGAGGCCATTCCAGTCAGGACGGTTAACTCTTCCAAACTTTACGATAGTTTCAATAGCAGCAGCAATGGCATCCTTGTCCTTGCGCTCGAACAGCCCAGCACCAACAATTATAGCAGGGTTCTTCGCAGAAAGGATGAGAGAGCAGAATGGATGGCGGCCCTCAGCAATATCAAGGAGGGTTTTTGGGCCAGTGCCAATGTGCTCATGATCATAATTGAAGTCAGTTGGAGGGCCAATGTAGGCCACCTTTGCCTGAGTTGCTCTAACAGTCTTTCTGATTCTTGCATTCACCATTGGAGCTTCTACTCTAGGCTGCAAGGTGACAACAGTTCAATAGAAAGTTCTACTTTTTTTTTTCAAACGGAAAATTCATTAAAATAAAAGCCAAAAAGTATAAAAATAGTACAACCTAGGGAGAAGCATCAAGAGGAAGCCTCCCTCAAAAAAAGCAAGAAAAAGCAAAAACTTCCAAACATGGATACACTTCATAAAGAAAGAGATCAAAAACAAAAAGTGAAAAACACCTTAACGGGAGTCGTCCCCGTCACCCTCCTTCCGTTTTCTTGGTTGATCAGTTATAGGGCCCCAACGTTGCAGTTCCTTAGCAAAATGAGTCAAAGATACTCTATCTTTCCTTGGACCAGATCTATAGGATGCAGGAGGAAAGCCTCGGTGGAAATTAAAACCAAATTCTATACGGATTAGTTTTTGGATAGGAGAAGATAAGACCAGCCATATAAACTCAGTATTATTCCACCGCCAAAGACATAGCAACCAATTTTAGATGCAACTCCTTTTGGGGAAATACCATTTATAAGAAGACGGAATTTCTCCAGCATATTACTAAGACAATTCGAACCCTCTCTATCAATACACCCCAATCAATAAACAACTATTTTGTTAACAGTTGAGCAAATAAATCAAAGTTTTTGTAATTTAGTAGAGGACGAATTTTAGAAGTAAAAGTTCAATCTCATAGCTGCTAGCATAATGTTTTGTGCTAGAAATAGACCTACTATTATGCTTCAAATAAGGAACCATCATTTGCTAACAAGTGTTGAAGGAAAAAACGTTGTATCTAACCTAGTTACTTGAATACTACATTCACGGCTCAGCTCCATTTTTCATGTAAACATAGTTTTGGAGCTTTGTCTTACCTCCAGCTTGCTTTGTCAACCCGTCTCTCTTAAGCTTCCCCTGTAAGACGAACTTCTTTGGAATTCAATATGGCTCATTGGTAATGAAGATGGTGTTCGTTTCAGCCCTTATTGTTAATTCTAGCATCCTTTCTTTGCTTCTTGTCCTAATTTTGACCCAAGCAAGTTTAAAATATTTGAATCCTAATCCATCTGCTTCTATTTAGATTTTCTTTAATCACAATAGTGAAGTAATTTCCATTAACTAGAAACTTATCTGGCAAGACCTTCCTGATAAAGTCTTCTAATATTCTTGGTGAAGATAGTGACCAAGAAGCTATAGCCTCCAACCTGAAAATAATTATTCCATCTTAGAACAACATCTAGGGGTGCAAATGAGTCGAGTCTAGCTCGAGTCAGGCTTAACTCGAGCTCGACTCGCGAGCAAAATCCTGAGCTCGAACTTGAGTTGAGTGCAAAAGTTATGTTGAGCTCGTGCTAGACTCATGCCCTTAAAATGAGCTCATCGAGCAGCTCGATTCCACGGTTCGAGCTCCAATTCCGCAACCGCGTCCGCGTCTCACCCGTGCCTTCCGTGATTTTGCCTTACACGTCAAAGACCGACCTCGCGATTCCAATTTCCGCCTTCCGTGTCCGAGCCCCGTCCCTGCGATTTTGCCTTGCACTTCCCACCCCCTCGATTCAACCTTCCACGGTTTCGATTCCGCACTCAAGCCGCTCGACGAGTAATCAAACCGAGCATCCTAAGGATCGAACTCGAGCTTGATAATCCAACAAGCTCAAAATTCGGCTCGAGCTTAAGCTCGAAACTCGGTAAGATCGACTCACGAGCTTGTTAATGAGCCGAGCTCGAGTCGGCTAGCTAGTAGGCTTGACTCCTTTGCACCTCTAACACCATCCCAATGAGTAGTTGAGAAGAACTACAGATAATGCACCTATGATTCACACACCTATACAAGTTCTTTCTCCTCTCACCATCTATATGGGAAAAAGAAAAGGGATCAGGAGGTACTTATGATCCTCCTAGATTCACCAAGTTTCACGCTAAATGCTCTTGCATTCCAAAATGAGTAGGGCCTCGTTTGAAACGTACGGGGATTGTATAAGATATCCTCTCAATCTCACATTAACTCTCAATCTCACATTAACAAAAACTCATACTAATCCATTAAATATAACTCCTTGCTATTATTGAACATTTGAACCAATGACATCTGCTCATAAAATCAACGCTAGGTAGATTTAGTTTTTTCTAGGACCCTTGCCAACCCAAACAACAAAATTTGATTCTTTTAAAATGATTGTTTTAACTATAACTTAATATTTGTGAGGGTCAGTTTCAGAATGTCTCGATCACCTTTCTTTTTTTGGTTACCATCATCTATGCTAGTTTCTTTAGTCATATTCATAAATGACTTTCATTAAAGACATTCCTAATAACATTGATAGTCCCTAGTCAGTAGATAGCGACTTCAATGCATTTCTCCATGTGTATGAGATGTTAGGGGGTTTTCCTCCTAATTTAGGTTTCATGAAAGGCGTCTCCTAGGATGCACTAACACTTCTCATCAAAGAGATATGTGGTGTCCAATGCATATCGGACATAACACGCATTTGATATGCCTCAGACACGTGTCAGACATGCCGAAAACATGTCCAATTAAAAAAATATTAAAATAAATAGGACACATTTCTTACAAGCATTCCTTAAATATTTTATGAAATTTTTTAAATATAATTTATTGTACTTCAAATTTTTATTTATTAAAAAATAAAAATTGAATTTCTTATTATCTTTCTAAAGCCCCAAATCAAACGCACGTGCTCGATATCTCATTCCTTAAACATTCTTATTTTCATTTCTATCTGGTGGGTTGACTAGGATTTCACACGTGCGATGTCATTTGTTTGATGCTAGCACAACATACATATACTAAAACCATGTCAACATTTGAAATCTGATGTTGTCTTGACATTAATGCACGATGTCAGCATTTCTACACCCACAATCATGCTCCTGCACCATCCCCAAATCTCATATTTATTCAACATCATCTCAAAATCGACAAATGCCAACATCGAGGGTTGATGTTATCTTGACGTCAATGCGTAATGCTTATTGCACAACATCGATGTCCAACTCTCGACATCATTGTCATTTCCCCTCTCGATGTCTGACATGGCATCCAACCCTAACTTTCAACATCTTAACATTAATCTTTTTAAGCACGGATCTTGTTAAATGACTTATTATTTATCGATTATTCTTAATATTTTACTTATTTCATTTCTACACTATTTATATAAGTATAAAAATTATAATACCATGTCCAACTCGTGTATGTGCCATATATTTTAAATAATCAACATGTCCTGTGTCACCATGTTCGTGTTTGTATATCATAGGGCTTCTCTAATGAACTGATTAAGTGTGGGCTTATTAATGCAAGATTTTATGGGTATTAAATTTATTTAAATCAATAAAAATTTTCAAGAGAGGCTTGCCAAATTCTAGTTTAATGAATAATTTGACAATACTAAAATCTCTAATCTTAAAGACTAATCAAAATAGGGTCATCATATCATTCTCCCTACATAGTGAATATTACCAAATACATACATGTAGACCCTCCCTCTTTTAAGCTTCAGAATATGTGGACCTTAAAGACTAACAAGATTTTGTTCAGGGAATGCTCCACACTATAGATCGTGTATAATTAAACTTTGGTTTAAGCATAAGCAATATCAGCTTGAAAAACTAGAATACAAGTCTTTGGTTATAACGTTTGCCAATATTAAAGCTGATAAAAAAAAGAGGTAACTTGTGCTAAAACTCAATTTTTTATTCATTTTGGTATAATCTTAATTTTCCTGTTGTTAATCTTTGTATATTGCTAGGTATGGAGGAAGAATTTCGGAGATAGAAGTATGGTATTAAATGGTTAAAGAATGCGGATAGGAACATTTGGCATTTCCATAAATATATCAAACTTTGCAAGGCTAACAATAAAACTTATAAAATTAGAAAAAAGCTCATTGATTGATTCAAGATCTTGTTGGACAATTGTTAAGAATCCATCAAATTTTTAGCATATTAGGGATGCTACCCTTGTCTTTTCTTCCTTGATGACTCTATCGTCCCTCCCTTAATAAATCACAAGGGCAATGCCTTCTTGATGAATCGGACAAGTAGGATTGGTTAACGTTTTATTATATTCACAAGGACCTTAATAAAGCCATAACTGACTTCTCTTCTTAATTATTTTTTATTTGTTTTAGTTTTTTATTTTAATTGTTATGTTTTAACATGAAAGAAGAATAATTTTTTTAATTATACATTTATTATTTTCAAAAAAAAAAAATATTATTCACTAAGAAACAACTAAAACATCAAATTATAAATATTTTTCACATTCAAACATTTCTCTGAAAACTCTCTTACCCTGTTTTCTCGATTCGAATACTTTAGTGCAACACCAACATGTTACCCTCCTCTCACCATGAGCCAAATTGAGTACTTTTTTCTCTACAGAATCCTTTCTGTTTTCTTCAAATCCATAAAGCCTCCATATGTTCTGCCTCACCAGCAATAGATCCCAATCATCCTTGTTGATCCCCATGCTATTGCTACATCTGTCATTATTGATCCATATCGCCAGTGATAGGGCCACATTTTTACTGATGTCAATCCATGAGGTCGTAAACAATACATTTTGATCACTTAAGAAAAACCTGTATATTTAATTACCCTCCTAATCAAGGAGAACAATCTTAATTAAGGAAGTTCCTTAGGCTCAATTTCATGCTTAGATTTAATGCCTAGGTTCGCACCGAGTTAATGGGGAATGGTTGAAGCAATCGGTGATGTAGGTAAACTCAATCAAGAGCTCATGATTCCATCATGTCAAGCATACCAATAGATTTAGCTTATTAACATTATGATATGACATCGGATCCCGCCCCAGTGGGATTCTAGAAGCCGAAAAGCTCCTATTTTGGAGTCCCAGCACCCCATTTCAGACCTATAGGAGGAGAAGGATTAAGGGGAGATAATTGGAGAAAATGTGATTTATGGTGGATTTATGTCTGATTTTAGGGGGAAAAGTTTGTAGAATTTGGGGATAATGTGAAGAAATTTTCTGGAGGAGTTTTTTTTAGGGTGATTTTGGGTTCCTAGTTGCTGCTAGCCTGCTAGGAAATTGGGGGAGAGCCGATTCAACACTCAAACAGTGAATCAATTGTATCTTGTGTTTCTTTGATTGAAGATTATTATTTCAACTTTATAAGTGTTGTTCCTGCGTACCATTGTTGTTTTCTCTTGAGTTTGGTGGATGTTCTTCGCTGTTTGGTGCTAATTTTGTTCTAGTGACTATTTTTAGGTGCTAATTTAATCCCCAAATCATATCACATTAGAGTTTTATGAGTCATAACATCCAAGGAGTCTGATTAACAATCAAGGGTTACTTTCTCTTAGATATATCGAGCAAATCATAGTGAAAATGTATAGATGTGTCAAAGATGTGCTTTCTAGATTGGCATTAACTCGTTTGCTGGCAAAGGGGTGTCATACCAATTTCATTAAATGGTTCAGCGGCAAAGAGCATGGCCTATTGCAGTACAAAGATATCAAACATGATCGACATAGGCTAAAAAGCAAGGCATCAACGCTAGTTGTCCAAGAGCTTTAGCTTGGCTCAAAGAAGCATATCTATAACAGTATTTGGTTGATTTGGTCTTAATTGATAGGCTTGTTACCATGTGAGCTATCAAAGACTTTGGGCTATTTGGGGCTTAAATACAATAGAAGACAAATTAATTAGGATAGAGCTTACATCCATTAGAATGCCAAGATTTATTGGGAAGGGGCTTATATCCTTGGGAAGGCCCGATGGAAAAACTTAAAATCTCAAGAAAAGGAAAGTCCAATGATAGGTCATATGACCTTCCGCTATAGGCAGGTGATAGAACCTTAGAGTGAAATATAACTTCTGATGTAATTTTTATTTTAATAAAAATGTTAAGAAGGCTTGTTCAGACTCTGAGATCAACCGAGAGTCAATAAGTCAAACATTGCCCCTCGGCTTATTCATCTAATCAACTGAATAAACTTTTATTTACATTTAAATTAAAGCCTTGGATGCATTACTACTTAATCCTTTCGATAACTCATCACTCTAGGGATGTTATTTCAACTAACTTGAATTAACCTTAACTCTATTGGAATCATTAATATAGACTTCAAACACCTAGGGACAGAGATGTGCTTGCAACCCCTTCCTTTTTTTTTCTTAAATATTTTTATTGATGCACTTGCATAGAGATTGGCCCTAATTTTTTATATTTTCATGCTTTTCTTGGCACTAGGGTCAACTAGTTGATTGATTACTAATCAAATGCTAGGAAATAAAATAATTATAGCATATTTAGAAAAAAAAACACTTATCCTTTATCAAACAGTTCTTTTAGCAAATAATTCTTCAAATCTATAGCATCCCAAAGAGCTTTCAGCACCTCAATTCTAATCAGCCTTTTTTCACTTTGCATGCTCTATTATTTTGAGACTAAAGAATAAGAATAAAGCGCAATTCCTGCCAAGGTTATGCTTTCGTTAGGTTAGTGCATGAAATTTAGTTTGACTTCTAATGGGAGTTAACTTCTTACTCTTCAATCTCAAAATAAAAAGACATGCAAAGTGAAAAAGAAAGATTGAATGATTGATCAGAACTACGGAGGCGTTGGAAGCTCATTGGGATGAAACGCGATGTGAAAAAATTATTAGCTAAAAAACCGTTTGATCAAGAATAAGGAGTTTCTCAATATATCTTATAATTCTTTTATTTCCTGGTATTTGACTAATATTTTTGGACATCAGCTTTTTGGCTATTTTGTGAGTTAGATTTGCTAGCTACTTCATCGACAATTTATTTCTGGCTTTTTTATTTCCTCGTAATCATTTTTTTCTGTAAAAAGTTATAGGTAGCAGACGTAAACTGTTAGTTATCTTACTTTATCGTCAGTGATTCAAGCAGCAACTGGAACAATCAAACAATCTTAGAATCAAGATCCTAGAACTAGGATGATCATCTTCCAGACATTAGGTCAATAACACTGTCAGGTTTTCAACCAAAGGTAGATGAGTACAAAAAAAAAAAGATTACTCTATTTACCCAAATAAAAGATCAATAAAGGGAAGAGGAACTCATTAGATTAGATCAATGGAACAAATCTCATCCTTGTGAGATCCAAGATTGTCAAAGGTCTTCAAAGGCGATCAATTGTGATTTATGATTTTTTTTTTTCTTTTACTTTGTCATTCCCAGTGTCATCTGTGTAAGTGAATGGGAATTGAGAGAGGAAGGAAAGTTACGAGGCCTTTAGAGAAGTGACGTGCGACATAGGGGTTGTGAAAAGGATGAGCTCGTACAAGGGAGGGATTGTTATGTGGATTGGCAAAGCACACGTGAGGGTGAAGCAAAAAGTGCTATGTGATGGGTGCGGTTTGTGGCGGTGATGAGCGAAATGGGCCACTCATGTTATGGATGAGCCTCGCAGGCAAAAAAAGCGGCGAGCAAGCAAGGAGCATGATTACAGGGTCTAGGCAACATAAGCGAGATTTAAAAGGGCGGATTGGGCTCATGTGAGGAGGTGATGGTAATTTTTTCTTCTTTCCTTTTTTTACAATAAACAATATTAACATCTACATTGCTATCAAACCATCTTAGCAACATGATTATCTATCAATCCTCATAGAAGATGGACGATCATAATTGCAGGTCATGAAGATTCAGAAGAAACCCAAGAAAATTGCAAACAAAAGAGTCAGACCATCATGAAAACTTACTTTAAAAATACTAAATACATCTAAAGCTTGTTTTAAGTATTTTAAAAATAAATTAATTTAAAATAAAAAACAAAATTAACTTGATAAACTTATTTTATTAAAAGTTTAATTATTTTGTAAAAAAAAACAATTAAAACCACAAAAAAGGCTCTAAACATCTGTTTTGAAAAACAAAAATAAAAATAGAAAACGGAAGTGAATCCAGAAATGGCCTAGTTTTTTTGTAATTCTTGTAAGCCTTTGAATATGTATAGTCTGTTTAACATTCGATAAAAGCTTTTCTTTTCACTCCACCAAGTTTTCATATGCATTGGACTATCCTAAGACTAATATGGAAACCTTTGTCACAAAAACTTCATCCAACTAGATATAGTAAAATTCAAAAAACAAAAACTACATGTGCACATCAGAAGCTGATCGGATGAAACAGCGTGTTTATTTCTGCTAAATCCACCTGCTGTATTTCTTCTTAAGTTGTGAAACCAAACATATAACTTGCATACTGGGACAAAAAAGTTTTAAAGATAAGACGTGATGTAAATAACATTACTGGTTAAGTCTAATGTTAAAGAAAAATTTAGTAGTGCAACCAGTAATCAAGGTTGTTTCCTTTCAATCATAAAAATTCTTCCCATTTTGATCCACCACTAAAGATAAAGATAAACCCAAACTCCAAAGGTAGATTCATGGACAAATTATAAAACAAGAAAATTGCAAAAATCAACTCAATTAAACCCACTTCACTCCTAATAGTATTCACATCCAATAAGATCGAAGTAAAGGACGATTGAAACAAATTTTACAAGCAGCCCTTCCAGAGCCATATTCCAAGATGAAAAATCCAAACCATCATAAATTACAAGGTGCTAAACCATTCAGGCTTCTATCCTCGGCCTATCCAATTTATCTTTGAATCTTCTGTATATCTTTGGTAACTATCAAGTAACTAGAGGAGCCCTCCTAAAACCTTATAATTCATCATGACACGTTATGCAATTTCATCACAACAGTCTGGAGGAATTTCTTACAATACAGTCAATTTCTATGAGAAAATGTATAGAAAGATAATGTACAACTAAAAGAATTTAGATGGGTCCAACATCTTCAAAAGGTTTTCATTGAAATTTACTATTTGTATTCATGACAGAAAACAAAGTTTTCCCAATTGTTCTTTGTGAGATCAAATTTTACCGAAAAAAATTTAATCAACCATCAGTAAATAAAATTTAAAAGAAAAAAAAAAAAAGACAACTAGAGAATATTTTAAAAGTAAAAAAATCATGTATAATGTGAAAGGTATCAGTAATAGGAAGGGAATCTTAAATGCCAATGCAACAACAGAAACACAAAAGGCAACCAACAAGGGCCAAGATAAAGAATGATACCTGGCTTCCAACTATAAGAAAAAGATCTGCGTTTTCAAGGCCAGCAATGTTTGAATTCAAAAGAAAACTAAAACGGAGATCAGCTTGAGGACTTGAGCCATTCCCTTCACAAAGCACATTGTTTGACCCCATTCGGTTTAAAAAGTCCTTCAGAGCAATCATAGATTCAGCATCAGAAAGCTGACCAGCAATTCCGACAATTTCATCAGGCTTAACTTGATGTGCAACCTCAGCAACAATAGCAAGGGCATCACGCCATGTCACCGGCTTAAATCTTCCATCATGATCACGAATCATAGGGTCATTCAGTCTCTGTCTCTTTAGCCCATCATAGAAGAAACGTGTTTTGTCAGATATCCACTCCTCATTAATTTCCTGCAAGAAAGAAAATTTAAATTTTGCCTTAAAACAACCAAGAAGCTTCAAAAATATTTAAGCAAACTATCCCATGCCAACAACTAAAAGCACAAACTATCTGAATCTTTTTTCAAAGCTCCATGACCATCGACGTAACATTTTTTCGCGATGGGTAAATCAAATATAAATTATCACTTGAGCTGTCCATGAACTCTAGATTATCTCTACTAGAATCACAACCTAAAAGAGAATAAAACACACTTAAAACAACATGAAAAAGGTTGTTTAAGAATATAAATAAAAATAAAGTATTCACCAAATGCCACTTCAGAAAACTAAATCACCAAGATTTGTGAATTTATCTACTAAAATAGATTTCTATAATATTGAAATGCACCCACGAAGAAGACCTTAATCACACGAACACGAAAGGGTCAATTAAAGACTAAAAGTGAGAAAAGACCATTAAGAACCTATCAATCAAAACCGAGCACAAATATGAAGGTTTGTTTCAATATATATTGATTGTTGAAAGCTACATCAAAATCACTAAAAAAAATTACAGTACATTTACATTCTACAAGAAAAAATATTGATTTATCACTCTGTCAAGTAATTATAACATGAACTCCATTGAAACACATTAGGTACCATATCTTAAGATGCAAATTGTACTAGATTTTAAGTTTATCATATCATAAGATAAATGGTAAAACAATTGTAGAACTTCTTTGAAAAATAAGGAAAAAAAATATAGAAAAAAAAATAGAAAAAAAAAAAGAAAAGAAAAAAAATTAAAAAAAAATTAAAAAAAAAATTATAGAACTTCTTTGAGCTAGAGAATCTCAAACATAAATAAAAACAGCAAGAAGAGTTTTCACGATGCTTGATGCCCCTTGGAACCGCCATGAAAAATCTTACTCGTGAATTAAGACATGACTATTGGATTTAGTCCTACACCGAATAGTTGAAAATGTGCTATATCAAAAATAGTAAGTGGTTGATTCTCTCCCATATGCTTAGTACTTGAGCTTTTGTTTTGAAATAAATTTGACCATACTCCAAATCCTTCCATATATCGAAGAATTTATCCATAGATATGAAACAAACATATAATATATCCCAATGCATTTTAAAACTATGATAGAAAATATATCTAATACTGCAGAACTTCAAGCTCAAAATGTAATACTCCTACTAGCACCAGCACCAGCTACTTGTCCAATAATGATGGACCCCTTCTTCCTTGATAATGCCAAACTAGCCTAAGAATATGAACCACATGATCAATACAAGGAATTCAACTAACTTTTCCAAGAAGTTTCAATCATCTGCCTTGCAATTCATTTTGATAACAAACAATATAAACTTACATGAAATAGTAATTATTTTTTATAAACTATGATAATCATAAATGAGAACTAATGTATTTTGAATGGGAATCATAAAATCAAACTACTCTAATGTCTTATGTCTTGTATCATCGATATGTGCATGGTTTATTCAAGAACATATTACTAAGCGGTAAGGTTACATTTTTTTTGTAAATAATAGAAAAATATCCTAAATATTTATTAATTAGAAGTATGGCGCAGGCCAGTTACAAATAAATAGGACACGGGACTGTTGAAAACTTGAAATACGGGAGTCCTAACCTAGTGTTTTGATTATTACAAACATTGTTGGCTTAATCATTCACTAGTCTCTGCTTTATATATTGATTGTTTCTTTCGTGTGTTAATAACAATTTCAGGTATAATATACACCAAGCAAGATTAAAGAAGCAGACACAAGATAGTGCAGCATGAAGGTCTAATCAAGGTTTAATAAAGGAGTCTGTACTTTTTTCATTCTTGAGACAATTATGTAATTAGGTGTATATTGGCAAAATAATCGAGCACACACTTACAAAGGGGATAAAAATTGAATACTTGAAGTGTCTGTTAAATCATACTGTAACCAAATCGTATTGTACGATCTGTTAATCCAAAAATTATTTCAAGTGTTCAATTAAATCAAATAAATTAAAATTAGAACATAACTAACCGTATTGTACGATCTCTAATCGTACAGGACAATCAGCTATTTTGATAAACCCCGTCGTCGAATATATATTACTAAAATTAGACAAATTCAAAATTTCAAACTTGAGCGGATCGTACTGTAAAAAATATTTCGTACAATATGATTATCAATAAATAATATCTAGTTTTGTCTTGTAGATTAAGGAATCGAATCATGATCAAATTCTAATTAATTTTCATAGTATACGATCCAACTCATACAATCTGACCAACCCGAGAGCTTATTGGTTGAATCTTGGTTTGTCCTAGACAATCTCCGATTCAATATAAGTATAAAACTAATCGTACAATACTACCAAATATCATACAGGATGATTTGTGACGGAAATTGAATGAAATGAACAGTACTATCCCAATATCATACTATACGATCATAGCAATTAAATTGAAAAATTAGAGTTTCATTTAAATAGTATGCTTTAATTATTTTATAGAAGATCTGAGGGACTGAGTTGAGTAGTCAGAGACATTTTTCTAGATGAGAGAGCTTTAGAGAGGAAGAGGGTCTCCTTGCTTGTAAGAGAGTCCAAACCATCTAGGAGAGAGAAGATGTGAGGTTGAGGGAGAATTTCCTTAAGGGAGTCAAGGGGTGTTCTTGTTGGCCTGCACCTTGGCTCCTTTGTGTTATGGTTATTATTTACTCATTAGTTTATACAAAATTTATCATTTTATGTTTACGCAATTTTTTTAATTTTGAGGCTTACGCCTCAAAACGCCTTGAGGCTTACGCCTCGCCTCACGAACGAAAAACGCCTCAATACCCGATTACGCAATTTTAAACATTGGGCAAAATACTTTACTAGACTAGGAGGCTATGGGAGCAGCATCTATGTCGTTGCGAGGAGCAACATCTCCGCCATTATGAGGAGCAAAAGGAGAGAGGCCTTTCAGGAGGAAGAGTTTGTAAAGGTCGTTCTCCACCTATGAATGGAGAAAGGCTTCTCCGCCTAGCTAAGTACCAAAGAAGCATGCTATAGTGGATTACCCAAAGAAAAAGAACTTTGAGGAGTTGACGTAGGTTGATTTCGGCCGAATCACTATAAAAATCATGTTTGAGATTTCTTTACTTTTCGATTATTAATTTCCTGCGTTTTAGTTTACATTGCACACATCTGTGAGATTTTGTGGTTGTTAAATCTTCAATTAAAACTTTGATATAAAGTTCAAAAACAAAAGAAAATATTTTTTAAGTTTAAAAAACCAAAAAAAATTGTTTTTTCTTTATATTTTGAATATTTTATTTTCTTAAGCTTTCGTGTCATACTTTGATTTTAAGAAAAAACATTTAAATATCAATTCACCCCCTTCTTGATGTGATATAGCACTTTTAGAAACCAGCTACAAATAAGAATGGTGGAAGATTGGACAGACTGAATTCCTAAGTTAGAGCTCATTAAAGATTTGCTTCATTTCTTTGAAGAAAAAACTTCAAAAAAAATGTGAAATCCTAAATTTAGTCTAGTTAACTACATTTGTCATGGACTACAAACAAAAAGAGCAATATAATTACCATAAAATACAAACGATTTTAAGTGCAGCATAGAACCCATAGTTCTTTCTAAATTCTTTGATCTTACTGCAATCGTTATATACAAAATTACAAACGTTAACTACCATTTCATAAAAATTATTATTTTAAATACTTTATTGAGCTATATAATGTAGGCTTGCATATGTTAGCATTCCTACTCTCATTCTTCATCGATATAGTCCCGCAAAAGTTGTTTTCTATTTTATATTCTATTGTGAACGGAATGAAGATAGAAATATTGGATTTTATCATTTGCCCTGCTCGGTAATGTTCAAGGAATAGTCTGCTAAACAATTACAGTTGATGATGGTCAGAAACATGCTAAGATCAAATTCACCAACTAACACTTGTTTTGGTAGAAAGTCGGAACTAAACACCCTAGCTCTGATTTGACCATCAACTCTTAGAGATCGTTGCACCTCCATAACTATGAGTTTAACATGAAACGTAAGAAGCCTTCCACATATCTCTCCATTAGCTAAAATAAAAAATTAATCAGCAACTTTCTTTCATCAAGCAATACAAATCAATGATTAAGAAGAATTCAATCATAATCAAAAGATTAGAAAATAAATCTTTTGAAAAATATATCTTAGCAATCCATCAATCAGAAGCCTAAACCAGTTAAATAAACCAATGGTACCAAATCATAACATGGCAGCTACAATGTAACATATAAAAAACAATGTTGAGTATAGACCTTTTCTTCTTTACTAAACACATACGAAACAATAAAATCAACCACAAGAATGACCCAAGAATAGGTATGCCAATAATCAGACGCCTCCATCCGAAAAAATCAAATGTGTGCATCCTGCTAAGTCATAGCATGGCAGCCAAAATTTTAATCTCCTATGGACAGTGTCAAACATAATCTCTCTCAAAACTACAACTCCAAACAGATAAATGAGAAAACTCAACAAAAAGAATAGCTTGTATTACCCAAGCAAACAAAATAAGTCTACAATAATGGAAAAGCAGAAAACAAGTTTGACATTGTGTGTTTTTCCATGACCAAACTCTTACTTTCCCAATATTCATGCAAGTTTTTGTTTTGATAAATGGTTGGAAAAAATACATTGCTCAATTAGCGAGACCCGGTGCTCTGAAATAACACCAAAAATGGTAGGAAAATAGAATATGAAGGTAATATCATAAAAGGTATGCAAATAGTTAACCTCTCCATTTCAGTCCTCAGTCTAGCTATAAACTAATTTATGTTACTATTAACAAGCCACTTGTTATTTCACTCAAACAAAAATCTGAAGTTCTGAACCATCATTTTAAAAATAAAATCTTAACCCCACATTAAAAAGCTGCTGGTGATTTCACTCATGTTTGATCAAAATCTTACTTTCCCAATATTCATGGAGTTTTTGTTTTGCTAAGTAGAACAACCGTGCAGTGCTCTGAATTAACACAAAAAATGATGGTAAAATATAATTTAAAGGTACTATTATAAACTGTATGCAGACTTCTTCAGTACAACCATCCAACAAGATATTAAATATCTATAGCACTATTAAAAACCCGCTAGAGATTTCACTCGAGCAAAAACCTCAACCCTTTATACCAAAAAAATAAAAACTTCAACCTATCATTAATTTTGATTTTTTTTCTTAATCTTAAACATTGATTAAAAACCTTAGAACATGTGGGTGAAAAATGTCTTCAATCTGAACGCTCATTAAAAATTCTTTTTCTAAATCGTAACTGTAAATTTAAACTCTTGTTGTAGAAGATCTTTTGACAGTGAAAAAATCTTGCAAGTGAAACAATGGAGAACAAGATAAGCAGAGAATTTAATCAATGATAACGTTTTTGTAGAAGCGACGGACACTGAATTTTCATCCTAACGTTTGTGGAATACAGTCAATTTCAAGTGTAATTCGTGATTCTCTTTCGTAGTTTTGAACCCTTTCCTAACTTATCATTCCTTCCCATAGCTCTCCATCAGCTCATCTCTTAACCACTTTTCTCGCTGAAACAGAGATTATGCATATTTTTAAAAATATGGAAAGAAGTGTGGGCAAAATTCAAGGATATTCTTATTTCTAAAATTTATTATCTAATTTCTTTATTTTCTTATTATTAGACTGGCTGTGCATATTATTTTAAGAAACAGGACAGACTATAATTGATCATTTTTATAATTTTGTTCATTATTCAACAATTTGAGTTCTTCTATTTTCTAGGAAAAAGAATTGAATTGATGTTTAAAAAGCTAAAACAAGAAATAAAAGGTTTCCAGAATCTGCTTCATGAATCAAACGGGTTTAAACATGAAGTTGAACGGATATCTTATGATTTATTTCAAACATCGGCATGTTTCTAAAATAAGAAATGATTGTTTTGCCGAGATGGTTAGCCAAAATCATTGGATGAATGTTATGGCAATAAGTCAAAAAGAGCAACCTATTATTTAATGCTTTCAAATTCATGTAAAGGGATTATTTAAGGCCACCATGTCCTTCAACTCTCTTTTCCGGTAAGATACTTCAATTTACCTAGCACATCTCTTCTAGAATTGTGTTATTCATATTAGTAATGCAATTATTTTTTGAGGATTCAAATTTTGATATATCTTAAAGAGATTTTGTTTCTACAATCATGAGGTTTCTGTTGTTATTTCTTGCATTTAAAAGGTAAAGGGTAAATTATAAAACTTAAACAACAGCTCATATTGATCAAGGATCTTTGGTTTGGTTCAGCATATTTAATCAAAAGAAACATTTAGAAGTGATATTCTTTAGATGATAATATTATTCATGATAATTATAGCACATTTAGCTCAATGTAATTTTATTTGATGTTAAAAAGGATTGTTTTCCCTGTTCTTTCTTCATCAAGATTATGATAATCTAAATGGAATCAAATTTAAATATCTTTATTACCTTAATATAATCTATTAATATTATTTAAACACCCTAATCTGGAACAAAACATCAAAACAACCCTCTCTGTTGCTGTTAAGAGAGCCAAGCAATCATAGAACATAAAAAACAAACAGGGATCGAGGCAAACCTTAAAATTTATTCAGATTTAAGTCAATTTCTATCATTTATCTTAAACTTAATAAAACAACCTGAAATAGTCTCCTATTCACATATGTGGATGAATAAAGAATTGGTGGGATATAAGATCAAAAAAAAAACTTTTATTAATTAAAATTACTTAACTAATCATAATAAACACTTGGATTGCCCATTTTTTTCTTGTGAACGGTATCAGAAAAATAGAACAATGGATAGGGCAAATTGAGATCAAAGAACTGCCAATCCTCCTTGCTGATCCCTAACTTCTTCTCTACCCAAGATTACGTCAATATGTTAATATGAAAACTATAATTTAGAAGGCCATGAAACTAAACTGTAATTAAGCAATGTCTAGGTCATCCAAAATTAGCTCTTAGGTAATGCCAATATAAAAAATATATTGACCTTCTAATCAAATAGCAATTTAAATTGTTTAAATAAAAACTTGGGTTTGCTCTCTATAAAGTTGCATGATAAGCAATCAATAGCATTCCCATATTTCTCAAACTTCTTTTGTATATTTCAACTTAGCAAAGTTCATTTGATGCACGTACATATTTACTGGTTTTTAAGGTTTCAAGAAGGGAGAAAACAAGGAATGTTTTCTTCCTTCAACTAAGCGTTATACTAAAAGTTATTGTTCATTAACCGGGTAATATAGGAAGAGATTACACCAACAACGACGGTTGTATGAATGCTTTCCCAAAAAAAAAGGAATGCCTAAGTTAAAGATATATTGGATTCAAAAATATAAGCATCTGAGCAAATTTTAAACTGCACAAAAGGAGTTATAATGAGAAATACAAACTAACCCAAATCTAAGCTAACTATCTTAAAAGAAAATGTTGACAGAAAAGTAATTTCAAAATGGATGATCTTATTGTGTTTCTTCCTTGAAGATAAATAGCAAGTTATTCACTTTTTTATAGCACCTGATCATTTAAATAGTATAGTTAGTCACATTATACTCGGTTCTATCATTAAATTACATAGTTATTGATGTGGGGCATCATGATGCTAGTTATTCGTTGTCGTAATGTTATTGAATCATAAGTTTATATTTGCTGTACCTAAGACCATCCTCATGTATGTATGAACTGTTTACATTTATGATGAGGAATTATATGTTATTTTAAGTATTTGGTTCTATTCTTTTAAAATTGAGTTTGTGTGAATTAGATCAACAACTTGAAGTAGGTAGTATAGCTATTATATGTAGCCTCTGCTATTATAAGCTTCAGAGAGGAATTGATACACATAGGTCAAATATTTTGAATAATTCTTCCTCCAACTAACCAAACTACTTCGCTACATATTCTATCAATCAGGTTCTAAAATAACTATGACTAGAAAATGAATTTTGAGCAACAGCATTATTCAGTTATTAACTCGATCGGGTTCTAAGACAATCCTCACTAGAAAAAATAGAAATTTGAGCAACATTATTATGCAGTCAAAAATCGAGCGAGCAAATTTGTAAGGATAACCAAATAGTTTTTAAATGTTAACTATTTTAATATCAAAGACTACAGAGAGAAGTAAAACCTCATTCAAGCGTGGAAGGATGCGCATGACTTCTGGACCTCTACTATCTATTCTTATGTTAGATCCTACCGCATCAGTAACATCTATGCTCTCTGTGCCCTTTAATTCCCAATTTCTAGCTTTGAAAGCAAATGGCTTTGAAGTGAGAGCTCCCACAGGACAGATATCTATCACATTTCCAGACAGCTCACTTGTCATAAGTTTCTCCACATATGTTCCAATTTCTTCTCCGCTGCCCCGACCTAGCATGCCAAGATCCTGTACACCAGCAACCTCACTAGCAAATCTGACACACCTGCAAGAGATAGTAATGACAAATTTTATAAGTTGCTTAACAAAATGCAGATATTGTTTCAGAATCCTAACATGGTCGGTATTTCTTTTAGCTATAAGCTCATTCACATAATGGTGGAAACATAATACAATAATCAGACCACAACAAAAGAATACAAATTGATTTGATAAGGCAAGCAAAACAACGCTTAAAAGCAATAGCACTGACATTTACCCAATAAAAAATAGATTCAGCTAAAATTTTCTTTAAAGGACAATCCCATATACAACCCCCAACTTATGTGTCCATGATTTAAAAACCAATACGAAATAAGCTAAAAACAGATAATCACTAAGAAATTTCATAAAGCAATTTGAAAGTGCAGGTCTCCTCAAAGTGCAAGTTGAAATGGATCAAAATTATGCGATGTACAGCTAGATACAACAAGAATAAAGACAGGACAATTTTTACAGTAAAAAAGACTAAGCCAATTCTCATCTGCATTGGCAAATCCCAGCAATTTGATGAAAGATGATAAGAGCAAGAGATATGGAAGAGCAAACAGATCAGGACCTAGAAGAAGATAATATTCCATATCAAACCAAAGGAGATTACAACAAATACAAAATATAAAACCTTGAAGCATCCAAAATATTTTACACCACCTTAGGAAGAGTTTCCATGCTTATTATAAAAACTAGCAGTGAATCCCATTACATCAATGTTTACTGAGGTCAGACTCCTAAAAGCACCAAAAAAGAATAAATTTAAATCTGCATCTAACTATATTTCGTACAAATAAAAACCAAGAAAGGTACAATTTTTTTATAACAAAACAAAAATACCCAAGCCTAGAGCAGAAAGCAATTACCTTGTGCACTGGATGCATCGAGTCATCACAGTCTTAACCAGTGGTCCCAGGTTCTTATCAACCACAGACCTCTTCATCTCTGTGAAACGACCACGGTCTGAACCAAATGCCATTGACTGGTCCTGCAAGTCACATTCCCCTCCCTGATCACAAATGGGGCAGTCTAATGGATGGTTCATCAACAAGAATTCCATCACACCCTCCCTCGCCTTCTTCGCCACAGGAGTATTTGTCTTAATCTTCATCCCTTGGTTTAAAAAGTTTTAAAAAATTGTTATGAAGCATTAAAATGTGATGCCTTCAGCAAAGAAGAAAAAAAAAATACACTTTCTACCATTAAGGAAATATAGGATGCTGTGTGTGCATATTTCACTAGAACTAAGTAATAAACATAAGCAAATTGGCATAAGCTTATGAACCATAGGGCTTCTTTGGTTGCAAGATTTAGCTAAGATTTAGCCAAGTTGTAAGATCAATCTAGCCAAACAGTTTTTTAAGCCACAAGGATCATACTACCTTCTTAAATCCCATTTAGGCCAAATCCCAACTTTAGAAAATCCTAGAGGGGGTAAAATTTGAGATAATTACATGACTTTTCATCAATGCATATCTTCTTCTCCTTCATTTAAACCTTAGGTATTAAAAATATATGACAAATAGTTTGCTAGAATTTAAAAAGATTTAACATCAATCATAAGAAACTGTTTCCAGGACTTAACAACTCCTGAATTTGCTAAATATGGATTTACAAGATTTACTAAATACTATTTGCAGCCAAAAAGCCCCTTAGCACTGTTCTATTGAAGTCCTTGCAAACAAAACAGAAGAACAAAATATGCTAGTCTTATTAAACCAGTTAATTATATGCCAAAGGAATACTTTTAGTTCAGTTTTCTCTTCTACATCCTATAACTACAGGATAAAGCAACGAACTATTTTCTTGTACCCTCTGGTTATCCTAAGATAACTTGCTTCTATTCTGATATTTGGATAAGAAAAAAATAAGAAAATTAAAATTTAAAAAAAAAACAAAAAAAACAAAAGTAAGTCGTAGCCTTATATTTTTTCCACGAACTTTTTTGAAAGCAGGATGAATGAAATATTCATGATAAACACAGAAATAAAAAATAGACAAATTCAGGTAATCTAAAATCCCAATTCTTTAACTTCATTGAGTTTTCTATCTGAGCGTAAAATAAACATCCAGATCAAAAAGAAAAACCAAAATTTAACAAAATAATAATAATCGAATGAGACCTGGAAGAGCAGGCATTGCGCATGAAGCCACGGGCTTGGGCGATTTCTCGACCTCGACGAGGCACATCCTACAATTTCCAGCAATAGAGAGACGGCTATGGTAGCAGAAACGGGGGATATCGACGCCGGCAACCTCGCAGGCCTGCAAAACCGTCATCCCTTTGGGGATCTTCACCGGATAACCGTCCACAAACACCTCGATCGCATCTTCGGGATTCGGACACTCAATCCGCGCGCCGCCAACGGGAGTCCTTGGCCTGACCTCAGGCGTCGGAGCCGGCGCGGCTGCTGCCGCGGCCTCGGGATTGTGGCGGTCCGGGGTGGAGGAGATCCATCGGCATGCAACCCTAGAAGTAGAGAGGTTGGATCTGATGAGGGGGCGAGCACGATGTAGAGCTCGGAGAAAGCCCATCTCGAGCGCGAGCGCTCTCTCTCTCTCTCTCTCTCGCTCGCTCGCTCTCTCTACGGATTGATTAAAGAACGAGGCTTTCGAACGCTGGAAACGATTCCCGGCACGGGTAGATGA